CGCAGATCAAAACAATTGGAGTCGGTGCAGGCAGGAGGAATGTTTATTGCGGGAGCAGTTGGCAAATTGCGCTCCCTGCTCCTCCAAATACGAGATGGCGATAACCGAGGCAATTTTCAGCTCAGCAATATTATGCAATATAAATCAGCAAATGGCAGCGACACCCAGCCAACCAACCAGCCAGCCACCTAAACACCCACCCAGAACTCACAAAAATGGTGGCGGCCTGGCAAATCCACCCGGCGGATAAGGCAAGGTGAAGGCTTCCGGGAGGCGGGGTCGGCAACTTTAATTCGAAATGATAACAGAAGTTCCGAAAATGTAACAAGCCACCGTGAAAACGAAGGGAAGCGAAGGCGCTCGGCCAACTTTTGGCATCGTTGTTTTCCGCACAGTGGTTCGGGCATGGTCATCATATGCCTTTCGATGGGTTATGAGTTAAGCCAAGGACATTAGGGATAATAAATAATCATAAAGAGAAGCAGTTAGGCGGGTTGCCAAGGACAAAGAACATGTTTTCTACAAGCCATTTTTTAGAGAGAGTTTTCAAGGAAATCTAAAAATAGTTTCGCTGATATTACATTGTCTGTAATCTGTCAATAATATGGGTATTTATTTTAAAAGACAACCCTTATGTCTTTTATCGGAAGCGATCTCCAAATTGAAAGAAATTAAAAGAAAACTTTAAATAAAATGCAATCTTATAAAAACAAGAGGCGTCTGCCATTGAAAAATAATGATAACTGAATATTTTTAATCTATAAAGAGTAGCTTACTTAATATACTTAAGCATATATAATAGTAAAATATTGACTCCTGAAGTAATATTTATTTTGGCGGTCAATAAATAAATATTACTTCAGGAGTGAATATTTAACTTTTTTTAATCTAACAAAGAGTCTACCTTTCTCCTTTTGAATTTAAGGTAATACTCGTATTTTATAATACTCGTAATTATGTAATGTCTAAAATTAATTTAGTACTATATTATTTTGTATACTTTTAATATCTCCTTTTGGCTGCCTCACTGTGCAGCCAACAAGGATGGCCTCGTTGTACCTGAAACCAATTCGGCCTCTCTCTTCTCGGCTACCAACATTCCATATAAATTAGTCTCGTGGGTGCAATTTTATTAAATCAACAAAAATTTGCAATGTTGGCAACGTGTTTCAGTTCGAGTTCCAGTTGCCCCTCGTCCCGCACTCCCCTCCCCTCGGAATGCGGGGGGAGCACTAAGTAGCCGTTGTGAAAGTGGCAAGTTCGGGGTGGAAGGTTGGATGTTGGGAGGAAGGTTGGATGTCTTTGGGATTGGGGTGCTTTCGGCTCGGGGTGCTCGTATTAAAAAGATTGTGTTCCATTTGAATGCGGCGCACATTTGTCGGTTGGTTTCTCGCCGGATTATTATAATATATTGAAGATCGCTTAGTTGAAATTTAGTGTTAATGTCAATGGGGTCTTACGAACGCAATAACAGCAGCACAATGGCTGGGAAAATGGCGTCGATTCAAAGGTCCTGCCTTTTGGACGGTAATCTGTCTCTTGGTTTTCTTTCTTTATGACAATGTTGCACATTTTTAGAATGGAAAATGTTTATTTTCAAATAAATTACACCTATTTGTTAAGTCATTATGTTGTTTTCTTAAGAGTGAATATACTTTTTGTAGGAATTCCGAGTTTAAGCTAAGAAAAATAATGCTTTAAGTACCTATATAATAAGTATGTAGTATTTTTTATGATTAAAAAAAGCCTATAAGAGCTTAAAATTTAAAACTCATAAGTTTATGTTACTCGAAAGAAATAAATTCTATTTATTTAATATTTTAATACTACCCATATCACCTAAAACCCTTTCCATTTATCAAACAACATTACATCGGCCATTTGTAATTTTTTCAATTAATTGAATTGAAAACTGCACTTTACAATTTCCCCTGTCGCACTTCAAGTAGAAATTGAAAAGTGAAAATTGTGATAAATGAGCGCCGAGGGCTTTAAAGCGGCGCTCGGCGAGTGTCGGGCAAAAAAAAGAGGCAAAAACTCATTTCGCAGTGTTAATAAATTATGATGTAGCAGCGCGGCGGGATGTGCAATTTTGCAACAGGAGATAAAGGTGGAGGGGACAGACGACGAACAACAAGGGCCATATCCGTAATAAAGGCCTACCCGGAGACATGGCCAATCTCTTCCGGCGGAGGCATGAAAAAGTGAAAAAGTGCCAGGGGATAAAATCAACCTGTGCATTCGCAATGAGCTGTGAGCTGGGAGATCTGAGTTCTCTGGAGTGGGAATGGGAATGGGAGTGGGGATGGGGATGGGGATGGGGGGAGATAGCGACGCATCTGATTCGGATTTGGGTTGGGATTGTTGCTGGGACCCTTTTTGCACACACTCTGTTTGCACTTGTTAAAAAAATCACCCTTCGCAGTGGCATTAGTTCGGCATTCGGTGGGAGGAAGCCATCGAACAGGGTGTTTTATGCCTTGTTTTATTTATGCAAAATTATGTTTCAATTAAACGAAACGCGCTCGGTAATTGGCCGCCATTTTGTCGGCTGAAATACTGAAATCCAGGACGCGAATGGCAACATCTGCGATGCGCTGTAATTAGGCCTCGCATATGCCGCAGCATCCACATTTCCACCATCCCGGAGTTCGCGGGGCTGGGACGGAATTTAAAGTAGGATCAGCGCTTGCGGCTTTGTTTGCCCTGTCAAAATATTGTAATTCTTTTTCGGCCGCGCTCAGCCCGCGAACGAATTCGAATGCCATAAAGTGCCGGGTTTATGTGCGATTTGGCATTAGAATTACACGGCCGACTAACGCCATCCGCGGATTCGCCGAATCGCGCAGTGGTGGATCCGCCACAGTCGCACAACATGAATAAAACATGTTAAGGGAATGGGTGTTCCTCTGCGTTTAAATCATGGATCGGTGGGAATTCATAGTAGATATTTTTGTAAAGATATTAGTTACAACAAATGCGGATCGGAAACGTTCAATCCTTAATGCTATCAGTGCTTGAAAACTTCTGATGGTTGAACCTTGCTAAAGTTAAACTGAATGCAATTTAATTCCTACTATTCTTTAAACATAATCTGGGAAAACTAATCATTAATTTTTATGCATATTTATGCATAAAACATTTATATAAATGTGCCACTTTGGCAGTGCAATCTTGGGGTCACTAAAAGTTAAATGCGAACTTATTTCTGTGTATATTAATTATAGAATATTTATTAGTCACGGGACGGTTTGCATTAAATGGTTTTGGCAGCGAATATGAAATGAAGTATATTCCGGGCGCTGCCTTATCGCGTCGTTGATCGCCTTTTGGGGCAGTTTGAGCGACGCAGGAAAACTTTTCCAATAACAGCATCCAAATGTGAACTTATGCCGAACCGACTACGTGCCCAGAATGGCGAGCGGCGACATCCGCCGTGAACCCAATAAGCAACCTACTAGAACCCAACTCCAACTCCATCGACAGCCACATTCGTATCCCCATCCACATCCACATCCACATCCACATCCACATCCACATCAATGGGACAATCTTTGGAACGCCATTTTGACGTTTTCGAAAGTTTCTTTTATTGCATACATGAGCCATTTGGGTGCCGGGGCTTCCGTTTCCGCTGCCGAGGACTCAGCTCGTTGACGCTGCCATTACGCTGTCGCAGCTCCAAGAGCAGGATGAGTGCTTCGTCTGGCCTCCACCTCCTGAATCCGGAATCCCTCGTCCTTCGTCCTTCGTCACTCGTCCCTCGTCCTTCATCCTTCACCGAGGAGCAGCGCACATGTGGGCGTGCCGTAAATGGCGTCGTTATGTGTGCGCTTATTATCATAATCCGTTGAGTTGTTGGCGCATTAATTAAATTTAATTAAAGGCGTTTTGCAACATTTCCGGATACGTGGGCAAGATGCCAATTGCAAGGCCGTATCTCAGCCGGAAATGGCCGCACTTCCCCCTCCGCAGGACATTTGCGAGTCCTAACCCCAATCGTCCTTACTGCGAGGCATGAAATCAATTTGCCCAAAATGGCATTCGTTAATTAATATTTGCGGCAGCGGCATTAGCAAGCCTGAATTTATGCGTCCGAAGAGAATATATTAATCTGTGGAATGGCTCAATACCAAACATATGCTATGATATACGTCATTGGATATTGGATATTTAAATGTCTTCTGCACAAGTTAGTGGGCATACGTCATTGGATATTGGGTATTTAAATGACTTTGGCACAAATTAGTGACCCACTAATCAACCACTCATCAAAAACCACATTCGAATCGTTGTGGAATATTCATAAGAATGCTACACCAGCTTCCCAAAAGAAAGGCTTCACCCCATAAGCTCTAAATCCCCAATAGTTTATATGGTTTTTGTTTCAAGGCAGATGTTTCCCATTCAGTTCATATATTTTCTTTCCTAAATTTTAAATCCCAACGGAAGCACCCACTGCACAATCATTTCACACCATTTCTTTTGATTTTATTTATTTATTAATTCTTCACTGCAGTTGTTGGCTTATGCTATCGTTATTTTTATTTTTGGGTTCGCTCATGGCTTCATGCTTTTAAGTCCCCTTGGCTGAAATCGGTTCGAGCACAAACGCAGTGTGACTTCTAGGTTTCGTTCAATTTTCTTAATGTAAATAGTTGTCATGCAGTTTTATGTACAAGTACGATGGAAAATATCTGGCGCCCTTCCGTTTTAATCGATCTAACACTAGGATCTGTTTAAGGTTCGAATATAATTCAGTTACGTATATGCGGGTTCTTGATCTATCGCGACTTCCGGATATTACCGGCTGGGTGAGTAAACTTGGTTGGTTAGTAAATAGTATGGACTTGACTCTACGTATATATGTTCGTTAGGCATTAGCTAATATTTAGTTTGATTTGGAGTTTTTGGACCTCGTCGAAAGGTCAGCGTATGGATGGGTTCTCGTTGCAGTTGCAGTTACATTTCCCCGTCAAAGTAAAAAAAACAAAGGTTCGTTAATTTCTTTCGCATTCATTTTAAAATCGCATAAAATTATATAATACACAATTCGTCACAACTAAACTTAAACTAAAATTAACAGAAGTGTTTAGCATAAGGGTCAAACAAAATATTAATTTACGAGCTAATTTGCTAGGCCGTCCGAATGAGACTAAACATTAAACGTTAAACTTAAACTTAGGCATAAACCAAACTGAAACGCAACAAAAACAGAAACGGAAGCGGGAACAGAAACAGGTCAATCAGGTCCTGAAACAAGGCAAAGGCTGTCGCCAACCGAGGATATCACTCGAATTAGGGAGACTCGGAAAACACAGGACTACAGGACATACTCCCGCAGAGGATAAAGGATATTCGCTGGCTGGGGATGCTGATTTTTGGTGGTGTTTGGTGGCTTTCGGGCAAAACGTGACTTCAACTCTGACTCGACTGCTTTAGTGTTAACCATACTAGATACACATACATTTAGGTATTTATACATACACATATAAGTTCATAGTTGTATATATTTGTAATATATATTCATATATATTTGTCAATAATTGTTTATGTAAATACGCGCTGTTGTGTATAATAAATAGATTTTGACCTTAGTTCAACTTGCAACTCGCAACTTGCGACTCGCAATCCGCGGGAGACTACGCTAGGTAAATTTAATTTCGGGAAGTTTGAAATCTACGTATATGGGTTCTGCCGTTCGTCCTCTCCATTCGCTCCCTACTTGGCCTCCTATCTTTCTAATTCTTCCGTTGTTGCAACCTTAAGCTAATACGTATTTCAGAGTTTCCTTCTGTTAGTTATCTTTTTGTTGTAGATTTGTAGTACACTCCTCGCTTAACTGTAGTTAATTTAAAATTTTAGTCACTGGCAAACGACATTTAATTTCTCAGCTCCTCCTAACTCCGATTTAGTTTCGTGTTTCGTATTATTATTATTACGTATTTGAAATCGTGATTATGCTTTTGGGTATGTTGCATACCGTTCGTCCTTACAACTGGTATTCATGGAAATATTTGCGCAATTGCTTGCTGCTTAATTGTTTACTTGCTAACGCTGCTTGCGAATCGCGTTGAGTCGAATTAAGATTAATATGGCATTGAAGAAATCATTGTATTCAAGCGTTGGCATACAACGAAATACAGCAAACACACAGTAAACACATCACTTAAACAAAACATTGGAAGAGGCTTCTTTCTTTCTTTTTTCTCGAAAAACATAAACAGAATTTTCCAATAAATAGGTAGATACAAAACGTACGCTCTATAACTCTAATAGGTAAGTATCTTTAATCTGTAAGCATATATCCATATATTATGTGTTCATATACCGTTTAACATAGTCGAACGTGGCTCTAAATACCGAACTAGGTTATCCTACAGCAGTCGCAAATAATTTTACACTCGAGCCCGTCCAACTAACCCGAATTTCTATTCCCATTGGGAATTAATCGGTATTAACGGCAACGGAGCTCTGACTATCTGACTATCAAAAATCGCTCATTCGTCAATGTTCATTATAATATAGATCGCGTCTCCTGCTAACTCCTTCCTTAAGCAATTACCGCTATTCTAAGTAGTTCGAGTTATCCATGTTATCCATTAATATTACCAAGTTGGGCCCGTTGGCCCAGAGGCTTTTTGGCTGGGGGTTGAATTGCCACTTTGGGGGTTGGACTGCGTAAAAATCGAAGGGGAAGCATGGAAGAAGTGCGGGGTGCACAAGTTCTCACTGGAGATCTGGAAGGGAATCGCCTATCAAATAGGCAACTGCACTCAGAAAGCTTTGATCCAAAGCAGGTGAAACCACCCAGCCAAGAGCCTCTGGGCCACCGAAGCCACTGACTTGCGTTTATGTAGTTTTGTAGACTTATGCAACTATTTACTATGTAAAACTTTACGTATTTTAGTTATCGAGTTTATCTTCTGATTTCTGTCGCGCGCGTCACACAGACGAAGAGATGAAAATTGTCGCCGGAGCTAGCTGATCCTGGCGGTGGTGGTGGTGGTGGTGCTAGTGGAGCTAGTGGTGCGGCTGGTGGAAGATTGGCTCGTTGGCTCGGCTGGGCGGCTGTGGAGTTGGCCAGCTTAGGAGTTGACCTTGCTGACCGCCTTCAGCAGGTCGTGATTGCTCTTGTCCAGAGCGCTCATCATGCCCAGATTGCCGCCCAGTCCGCCACCGATTCCGGAGCCAATGCCGCCCACTCCGACGCCCACGCCCATGCCAAGGCCGAGCTTGATATCGTTCTGACCCACCACCGAGTGGTGCAGGTGGCCCGGATTGTGTGCGATGATCGAGTGGTGGTCCTGCGGCTGTTGCTGCTGCTGCTGGTGCTGTTGCTGCTGCTGTTGCTGTTGCTGCTGCTGCTGCTGCTGTTGCTGCTGCACTTGCTTGTTCTGCTGGGCGGATTTCATCGTCTCCTGGGCCTTCATCTTCTCCTGCTCCTCGCGATCGCGTCGCGCCTGAAAGGTTAAAGAGGATGGAGTATATCAGTAAAGCTTTTGCAATGCATTTATGATTCTGAGATCAACTCACCTGCTCATTGATTTCCTTGACGGCACGCAACTCCTTCTTCAGCTTCATGCGCCTATTCTGGAACCAGATCTTTATCTGTCGCTCTGTGAGGCAGAGGGCGTGGGCGATCTCGATGCGCCTCCGCCTGGTCAAGTAGTGGTTGAAGTGGAACTCCTTCTCCAGCTCGAGCGTCTGGAAGCGAGTGTAAGTTTGGCGGCCGCGTCTTCGGGGACAACCGTTGGGGCCTGCGGAGGAGAAAAGCGGAGAAAGTCGCGTCAGATGTTGGCAATGACTGCGAAAACAATGCTGTTGCCTTTTTTGGCAACGCCTAATGAGCTGCAAAAACGAAAATGGCCAGTGGCAACACATGTCAGGCGTCGCCACATGATTTGTGTGTGGGGATTGGGGATTGGCGATTGAGAATTGAGGAGCTGCACTGCGAGTGTCTGTCTGCAAGTTACGAGCCAAACAAACTGTTGGTTTTTCGAGGAGAGGGTAGATGGTTTAGTGAACTAAGGCCAGTCCTGACGTAAGCAGTTGCCGCCGCAGGACACCGACTCCCCGGGGTCCATTGCGGACCTGATTCCGCTTCGATTCCGGATTCCGAATTGGCATCGCACGCAGTGCGTGGAAGGGTGAAGCAACCGGCACCGACTCTCGCCCAGCGGCAGGTCTCGCCCTGGTGGCCAACCAGCCAGTCAGCCAGCGCTTTTCCCCGATTTTCCCTGCATTCCATTCCCTTCTTTTTGTCTCGCCTCAACTGTGTTCTTTTTTTAGCAATTTTCCACGCTACCTGTGCGAATTTTTTGCGCGACGGTGCGAAGATGCGCCCGGAATGGGCACAGGCTCCGTGTTTATGTTACGGAAATCAAAAATTCGCTATCTACAAATTGCTGTCCCAGTCGCAGTTGCTGCCTAGCAGCCTCTCACTTTTACCCGCTTGCCGTTTTATGGCTGTCGTGTCTCTTCTTTTTTGCTGCTGCCTTTGTGTGGAGTTTTTCTGGTAAAAGGTTTTCATGTCAACGGCAATTTTTTATGGTTTGCAAGTTGCGACTTTCCAAACGGCAACCGACAGACAGTAAAAAAAGGGACAATTTTTACGTAATATTATGAAAGGTGCAGATTTTGCAAGTCGCCTCGACTGCAGTTGTAAATCATTGGGATTCTTTCTAGTTTCCGCTGCATTTTTTTATGAGATTGAGCAGTTGGCAAAATATTTACGGACGGATGAGCCCGTGACATTTGAATTTACCTGAACTGATAAACACTTTGGGTGAGTCATGCACGGCGTACGGAAAAAAATGCAGTAACAATCTTTAGTATGTTAACGCAATTAAAATTCAAGATTTTCAATTCTTCTTTTAAATTTATTTTGAGCTTATGAGACGCATTAAATAGTAATTGGTGGTCACGAAGCTCTTAATTATTTTAAAAGTTGATTGCATTTCTGTTGATTAATTGAATCCTAGTAACAACAATTAAATTCAAAATGAATCCTTTCATTTAATTTCTTGTTCAAGCGCCGCTCTACTTTAGTTTTAATTTGAGGAGAGCAGCCATAAAATGGGAAAAACATTGACTGCGGAGTGGACAGGATATAGAACGAAGGGGGCGAAAGCAATTTCAATTCTAATCAACCCCCTTTCCAGTTCCTATCCCTTCGATCCTGGGCCAAGGAATACCGAACTAATCTAAATTATTTACACGCTACAATGAGCAGCTACAATTCGTCCCATAAATCACGACTCCCAGGACACACGCGCCCCTAAACAAGATTTACGACCCCCGCAATGGCCGCCTTGGCCGACTGCAGGTGCGAGCGAGATGGCTGCTCGCTCGCAGGACAGACTGATGGAATCCAACATGGCTGCCATTCGCACAGGTAGACACTCACGAAGGCGAAAGGAGAGAGTGAGAGCGAGAGAGAGAGCGCGTTGGCATGACAACGCCTGAGCTGCGTTGGTGTGAGTGGTGAGTCGGCGCAGCCAAACCGGAATGTCAGAGAGCACTCACACGTAGAAACGAGCGGAAAGGAGAGCGCTCACTTTGAGTCACGGCCCAACTGTGTTATTGATTTTCCAACGCCGCTGCATTTCCACTCAATTTATGTCCAAACTGAAAAACTATTCGGATAGCCTCAAATCCGCTTGGGAAAGAATACAATCCACCGTTTTAATTCGGGTTTCGGATTTTGAGTGAGTCTGGACGAACCGCTTTGTGGGGGACTTCCAGGGTTCAATGATCTCTCAAACAATGAGATATCCATTGAAATTTTGGAGAATATTATTAATGTTTTGTAAATACTAGCGTTTTTAGAAGATACCTGGAGACTGGAAAAGGTAACCAAAATGCAACATTATTTTTTAATGGCAGCCCTTTTAGTCAAAGTTAATTTGAATTTATGAAACTATATATATTTAAATAAATAAAATAATAACAAAACTGAAAAAAATAGACCAACTAAATTTAAGCTAAAATTAAAACATTAAAAAATGTAATACTACATTTAAATTAAAATGTATTCACACAATAAACCAATCAATGAAAGGTACTTATAAATCAACAACTAATTAAACACTTTGCCTATTTTATCTTTTTATTTACTTTACCCTAACATGACTCATTTCAGTCAAGGTGAGTCAGCAACTTAGAGGAATCTCGGAGATTTTGTTTATACATAAAAAACTAATACTTTAGTATTATGAATAATCTCAGGCCTTTTTGCTCCTCTTACTAATTATTTTTAGATAAAAAATAATTGATTATTAAAATCTGCTGTTTCGTTAAGACTCTCAAATCTTATTCAGAGTATTTGATGACTTTCAATTGCACACTCAGCGATAAATTAGCTTAAAGCGCTTCGATAGATTTGACAAGCGCTAAGCGGCTATCTTGAGTTTATATTTTTCGAGTTGAGCTGGCCGGTCGAACCGGTCCGTTGCACAACTGCTAAGGAAAACCATTTTCCAATTAAAAATCAATTAGCGCGCCATAAATCGTGGCTGCAATTGACTGAAGCGTCGGCGGAGTAAACAAAACGGCACAGAAAAAGCTAGGGCCACAAAATCTGTTTCTGTTTCGGAATCAGAGGAAATTCCAGACGCGGTGGCGTTGGCGGTCGAAATGGAACGGGCTCCGGATCGAAATGGGCTATTCTGCTATATATTCCCCGGATTGGCCGAGGGAATACAAGAGAGGTGACAAGTCAACCAGGAAAGCCGTCCCAAGGCGCCGCTGTCAACGGTGCAAATGGGCCTGGGAATGGTTATGGGAATGGAAATGGGAATGGGAATGGAAATGCAAACGAGAATGGGAATGGTTATGGCTGAGACCCGGGGACAGCGTCTATAACAATGACATTAACAATTAAAAATGTTAATAATCATAAACGTAATTGTTCAATAAACAGCGGCGCGTATAAATAAGCACAAAAACATACGAAAACGAGACGCTGAAAAAAACACAGCGCAGACTGAAACTTATGATGACATAAAAATCATAAAAACAATTCAAAGCGTACAATAAAGATACTCGCACACAAGCACACACTTTCGTAGGAGGTGGAGGGGTTGAGGGGTTGAGGGGTTGAGGGGGAGGTAAGAGCGCCATAGTTTGCCCAAGTTTCTGGCAGTGTGTGTGCGTGAGTATCTGTGTGTGGGCATTCGAAAGTGGTTCCGTGGGGACGCTGACAAGTCTTCGAGTCTTGTTTATCAAGCGACACAAAATTGTACAATAAACAAACATTTGCCGTACGAGTATTTCGTGTTTAGTGTTTGGCTCCTATTTCCCGCCCATCCCTTTCTAACATTTTAACATTCTCGCTTTCGTTTTCGGTAAATAATAAACAAATTTACATATCGCTTGACAAAGAACTTTGAAACATTGTGGCTTTGGCGTGTTCAAGCGTTTTGTTGTTTCAGTTGCCGGCAATTAGTTTGAATTTGAATTCGAATTCCTAGCTGGGTCAAACTGTTTGCCGGCAAATAAATTTCCTGATTTTGCTGCTTTTGACCACTTTTCCCGCTTTCGACTTGTTTGTTGACTTTTGGCGCGCAAATTCCGTTGTGTATTTGTCTTCGAACGGAATTTGTGGAAATCTTTTGGGGTTTCGAACTTTATGCGAGGTCTGGGGAATATTTAAATATTGCTGAACTAGCTAAAGGCCTTCCATTCTGGGCCGAGGGCATTACAAACTTAAATGGGATGCTTTACACAGATAAAGAAGTTATGGGAACAAAAGATTGTGTAAAGAAGCAGTTTAAATTTGATAACTTTTTATGACAGAAGTTAAGCCACCCAACCAGTTTTATATAAACAGATTAGATTCGAAGAACATTTTTGATAGATTTATTTATGATGGGTTCAAAGTTTAATTTGATATTAATAAAATTGAATGAAACCAACACAATGTTGGTAAGATCAAAATGATTTGTTCGCTGAATAGACTTATTTCTCCGAAATCCATTTTTCTTCTTTAAAGAGATCTTTACATAATTGGAAGACAAGATACAAAATGGAAACTAGGCATCCACAAATGTGTACGCATATTTATGCCGTCGTATATTTATCTCGGTTTTGTTTTTTTCGGGATCGAAGAAATTTCACGGGGTGCGTATGTTTTATGCTGATTTGTTTATATTTGGTATGAATTTTCGAAACTAACTTCCCGGATGGCATGTTGAGAGATATATAAACAAAGGGCAGACATTTAACATGCCCGAAGATATAGCAACACCCGCTGAAGTGAGGAATGTTTGGGGTCGCGACTCGTGAGCATTTCGTGATGGCTCAACAAATTCTGTTCTCCTTCAGTTGCGGGAGTTCATTGTTTTTGCGGAGACGATCTTTCGGGCATTTAGCGCAAATTGCAATGTTCCCCGGGTTAAATGACATCCCCGGGGAGCAGTTTTCCGCCCCTCTCCCCTGCCGCCCACAACATCCATGGTTATGCAAATGCGCGGAATTCTTGGAGCGGCGAAGACTAATTAAACTTTGAAAGAAAAGCCGCTTAAACGCTGTTCCGACAAGACTCACGGGCAACATCTGGCGCCTTTGTGTGGCTTTTAGCGAACAGGGGGCGGATGAGCAGGACGAACGGGACTCGGGATACAGGATTCAGGACGAGGGGGCGGGGCAGGTAAGCGCCGCCATTAAATTGCTTTCATGCTCGACTTTTGGGGGTGGTTAAAAGCAACGGCAGCAGAAGCGGTAGCAGCAACTCCTGGCTGCCATTGCAAATAATTTA